GGAAAGGAAGGGAGGGGAAGAGAGGGAAAGGGAGGGGAGGGGAGGAGAGGGAAAAGAAGGTGAGGGGAGGGGAGGATAAGGGAGGGGAGGGGAGGGGAAGGAATGGAAGGGGAGGAGAGGGGAGGGGAAGGGAGGAGAGGGGAGGGGAGGGGAGGAGTGGGGAAAGGAAGGGAGGGGAAGAGAGGGAAAGGGAGGGGAGGGGAGGAGAGGGAAAAGAAGGTGAGGGGAGGGGAAGGGAAGGAAGGGGAGGAGAGGGGAGGGGAGGGGAGGAGAGGAGAGGGGAAGGGAGGGGAAGGAGAGAAAGAAACCATCAGGAGGCACGTGGCCACCCCTGCTGTGAGCCAGGCACCTTTTGAGTACTGAGCACAAGAGATTTCATTTGTCCTCAAAGGGCAATAGTGCCAGTTTCCAGATGGGGAAACTGAGGTCACAAAGATAAACGGCCCACCAAGGCCCTGTAACTAGAAAGGGATGGAGCCAGGTTTGAACCCAGGCAGTTTGCTTATGAGAAAAGGTTAGGGGTCAGGTTCAGCAGGTGAGGAGGAGCGTGGATGCTGTCTAAGGTTGCAGGCAGTTAGTCTAGACCAGGCAAGCTGGAACCCTGCTCGATTTTCAACATATTGGCTCCTTTAACACAATTGCTCTATGAATGGATATTCTGCATTTTTTATTTTGTTTTGTTTTGAGATGGAGTCACTCTGTTGCCCAGGCTGGAGTGTGGTGATGCAATCTTCGCCCGCTGCAACTGCTGCCTCACGGGTTCAAGCAATTCTCCTGCCTCCACCTCCCAAGCAGCCGGGGCTACAAACACCCACCACCGTGCCCAGCTAATTTTTGTATTTTTAGTACAGGTGGGGTTTGGCCATGTTGGCAAGGCTGGTCTCGAACTCCTGACCACTGGTCCCAGCCTCCCAAAATGTTGGGATTATAGGCATGAGTCACCTCGCCCAGGCAGTTGTTTTGTTATTTTTTATTAGCCCCATTTCACAGATGCAGAAACTAAGGCCATGGTAAGTGAATCAGTAGGTTCTAGGAGGTAAGCAACAGAGCGGGGATTTGACCTTCAACAGCCTGGCTCCAAATTTCATGCTCTTAAGTGCTTTGCCAAAGTGTCACAGTGCAGATTTCAAGGACAGGGGCTGGCAGAAGCTACCTTCAGGAGCTTGATGGCGAGCTCTGCCAGGCTCAGCGACCGGTGCTTCACGTGACTCCCCGTGGCCCCACAGTTCACAAAACTCAGCTCCTGCCCCAGCACCTTCATGCTCAGCTGGCATCGCAGAGGCTGCTGGACCCCACGCCTCTGGGTCACCTGCGGGAGAACCGAGACAGGTCACAAAGAACAGGGTCAGGATTAGCAAGGCGATACAGTTGGCTGCATCCCTACTCAAATCTCATCTTGAAGCTCCCACAATTCCCACATGCTGGGGGAGGGGCCCAAGGGAGGTGACTGAATCATGGGGGCGGGTCTTTCCCATACTGTTCCAGTGCCAGTGAATGGGGCTGTCACTCTGCACAAGTCCTCTCTTCCTTTGCCTGCTGTCATCCATGTAAGACGTGACTTCCCCTCCTTGCCCTCCACCGTGATTTTGAGGCCGCCCCAGGCAGTTGGAACTGTAAATCTATTTAATCTCTTTCTTTTGTCAATTGCCCAGTCTCAGGTATGTCTTTATCAGCACCGTGAAAATGAACTAAAACACAGGGCAAAGCGCCTGTACTTTGGGAGGGGGAAGGGGTGGCTGGTGAGCAAGGTCAAGAACTTGTGGGATCCAGATGAGGCTTGCAAAACTGGCTGCTAGAGCATGAACCAAATCCCAACCCCAGACGTGATTTCTCTGACTTGCACAGTAGTGCCCAACGCCGACAGAGTGCGTCTATGTTTTCATCAATGTTCTACTTTAGCGTGATTTTACATTTATGGAAAAGCTGAAAACTGGTTGGGCGTCGTAGCTCATGGCTCTATTCCCCGCACTTTGGGAGGGTGAGACAGGAGGACCGTGTGAGGCCAGGAGTTTAAAACGAGCCTGGATAGCATTTCGAGACCCTGTCTCTACAAAATAAAAAATAGTAATTAAAAATAATAGCCAGGTATGGCGGCACCCGCCTGTCCTCCCAGATGCTTGGGAAGCTGAGGTGGAGGATCACTTAAGCCCAGGAGTTCAAGGCTGCAGAGAACTACGATCGTGCCACGGCGCTCCAGCCTGGGCAACAGACAGAGCAAGACCCTGTCTCTGAAAACAAGGAAAACAAAGACAGTCTGCAAAGACGGTACAGAGTTCCCACGCACCCCTCCCCTGGTTTCTGCGTGGTCAGCATCCTCCGTCACCAGAATGCATGGTGCAAACTAACCAACCCGTGTCGATATGTTTCTAGTAACTACACCCCAGGGGCCATGTAGATTTCACCAGTTTTCCCACTAATGTCCTCTTTCCATCCCAAAATCCAATCTAGCAAACCCCACGGCATGTAGTTGCCATGTCTCCCTGGTCTCTGGTTTATGACAGTTTTTCAGTCTTTGATCGTTGTTCATGCCATGTACATTGTTTATAAGTTGAATTTGTAAATTGGGAAATTTTAAACAAAAGTGGAAGATCTTATATGAAACTCAGCTCTCTGGCTTCTCTATAAAGAAAAACACTGGGCGGCTCACCCTCCCCACAACAAGGGGCAACAAGAAGGCAGAGCTGAGCAGGGGCTGCCACTTTAGCTGAGCATGGGCTTCCTCTGTCTGCCACGGTCCCCACCACTCCCTATTGTCTCTGCAACACTGAGGCCAAGTGTCTGCTGCCATTCATCACTGTGCTCATGCAGAGTATTTCTCGGGGTGTGAGTCTCTAGGAAAAGTGAGGCAACAACAGAACAAGGGGATTGTGCGTTCTAAGAAAGCCTGTTTGCATCTAGCCCACCTCCCTCCTTCAAGCCTCTTGCCACCCGCAGCTCTAGTCCAAGATGCTTTTAACAGCAGGGATTACGGTCCTCTCAGGCCCTGGGTTTACACTTGGTGGTTAGGAAACATGTGGCCAAGTGAACCAATGCCCCAGCCATCCACCTTGGTCACTATGAGATGTACATGGCAATGACACTTTATAAAAGTAAAATGTAGCCAGTAATCTAAAAGTCCATTGATGGGAAAACGATTGTGTCAACTGAGGTCCCCACCCATAGAATGAATATTAACATACCTGTGTATGGCGAGCTTCTACTAAGAAAATACTCAAGAGATAATAATTACAGAAAAAGCAAGCTAAAGATACATACACCTTAAGACTAAGCAATTTCACTCCTTGGCCTCCTCCATATAGCATGGAACAGGTAAATACAAATATCTTTATGAAGAATTTTGTTGTGCTATTATCTTAGGGTTGAATCAGGGCCGAGATAGAGGCAGAGGCAGGTGAGATCTGGGGATCTCTTAGAGATCAGAATTTGTCTGAGAGACACAGAGCCTACAGTTCACCCAGAAACGGGGCTGTATCTAAGAGGACAGGGGCTAGAATTGGCGAGTCTGAAAGTTTTTTCAAGTGTATGTGTGAGGGCAAGGGTAGCTATAAAGCCATTCTCCTTCCTCCCCCTATACCTTCTCTAGCTCCCAAATAGAAGGGCAGGGACCCCTGAGAAGGGAACAGAGTCACAATTCCCCCAAGTTCATCTGATCCCCACAGAGCTTCCAGCAGACAATGAGCTGGGCATATGCCTCGGTGCTGCCTGACCCCTTCCCCAGCTCAGAGCTTCTTCTCTCCACCTATGCCCGACAGGTATGAATACATACATTCCCTAAGACCTAAGAGTCTTCATCACTGTCTCTAATAGCCAGCAACTCATGGATACACAAATTGTTGTACGGGCACACAACGGAATACGACACAGCTATGAAAATGAACAAATTATAAGTACACACTGCAGTATGGAGAAATCTCACCAATTTTAAACCAAAGAAGTCAGGCACAAAAAGGATTACAGGAGCAGCACTATTCACAGTCCCTGAACAGCAGAAACAACCCAAATGTCCATCAACGAATGAATGAATGAACACATGTGGCACATCTGGGCCATTTGAAATAGGAGTCGGCCTTAGGCAGGAATGGGGTACTGAGCTGTGCTGCAGTGTGGGTGAACTTCCAAAACACCAGGCTAAGAGAAAGAAGTCAGACACAAAGGTCACGTATTTTATGGTTCCATTTGTATGAAATATCCAAATTAGGTAAATCCAGAGAGACAGGAAGCATACCAGTGGCTGTGAGAGGCTAGGAGGAGGGGATGCTGGGGACCGATTCTTTCATGGGTATGGGGTTTCCTTTGCAGGTGATGAAAATGTTCTGGAACCAGACAGAGGTGCTGACGGCATGACACGGTGAATGTACTAAATACCACAGAATTGTTCATTTTTAATTTTTATTATTTTTTTTTATATGGAGTCTCACTCTGTCACCCAGGCTGGGGTGCAGTGACGCGATCTCGGCTCACTGCAACCTCTGCCTCGCAGATTCAAGTGATTCTCCTGCCTCAGCCTCACAAATAGCTGGGATTACAGGCATGCACCACCATGCCTAGTGATTTTTTTGTATTTTTAGTAGAGACGGGGTTTCCCCATGTTGACCAGGCTGGTCTCAAACTCCTGAGCTCAAGTTATCCACTCATCTTGGCCTCCCAAATTCGGGATTACAGACATTAGCCAGTATGCCCAGCCAACCGTTTGCTGTAAAATGCTTATTTTTACACATGAGAATTTTATCTCCTTTAAAAAAGAATACAGAGTGAATGATTCTATTTACATAATGTTTACGAAAGAAGCTGGATGTGACTTCTACTGGCAACCAGGTTGGATTGGATTCAACCTCCTACATGGAGCAGCTGCGGACCCAGATGGCCCAAGACACAGACATCAGGCACCCCAAGACGATGAACCCCAAGAGATGAAAAGGAGCGAGGTGAGCCCAGCTTCCTGCCCAGAGTGTCCACGCTGCGGTGCAGGGAGGGGAATGGAGGCCGAGTCGGGGGACTCGCTGCGCTGAGGAGCTGAGGGTCTGGGGAGACCCTGGCAGCTGGCTTCGCAGGGCAGGGTGGCAGAGAGGAGAGAGTGCACAGAGAGCATGCTCAGAGGTCTACACAAGGTCCTATGAGAATCTCTAGTGTCCCATCGGGCAAAAATTTCTGAGCTGTAACAGCCAAAGCACTATCCATCAAAGAAACTAGTAAACCTGACTTCATCAAAATTAAGACTTCCTGGTATTTTTTGAAAGACACCATTAAGAGAACAAAAAGACACACCACAGACTGGGAGAAAGTATTTCCGAGTTACAGATCTGATGAAGAACTTGTTTTTGGTCAGGTGTGGTGGGGTCACACCTGTAATCCCAGCACTTTGGAAGGCCGAGGCCAGAGGATCACTTGAGGCCAGGAGTTCAAGACCAGCCTGGGCAACAGAGTGAGACCCCATCTCTACAAAAAGAGAGAAAAACTTAGCTACGTGTGGTTGCACCACCTGTAGTCCCAGCTACTCAGGTGGCTGAGGCAGGAAGACCATTTGAGCCCAGGAGGTCAAGGTTGCAGTGAGGTATGATCACACCACTGCATTCCAGCCTGGATGACAGAACCAGACCCCAAGTCAAAAAAAGAAAAAACAACTTGTTTCTGGAATATAGAAAAAATTCTCAAAACTCAATAATAAGAAACAATTCAACAAAATAAGATGAGCGAAAGATTTCTTCGTACACTTCACCAAAGAAGATATACCATAGCATGTAAGCACGTGAAAAGATGATCAATGTCATCAGTCATTAGGGAAATGCAAATTAAAGCCATGAGCTACTACTACACCCTATTGGAATGGCTAAAATTAAAAAGTCTAACCATACCAAGTGCTGGTGAGGATGTGGAGAAACTGTAACTCACACACTGCCAGTGGGAATGCAAAAATAGTACAACCACTTGGGAGAACTGTTGAGCAGCTCTGGAAAAAACTAAACATATACCTGCCATATGATCCAGCCATACCTACTAATTATTCAAGAGAAACAAAAGCACATACCCAAAGACTTGTACATATATAATTCATAGCAGCTTTATTTTAAATAGCCAAACCCTGGAAACAACTATAAAGTCTACCAACAGATGAATGGAAAAACAAGCTGTGGTATATCTATACAATGGAATATCATTTAGCAATAAAAAGAAATAAACTACATTATACCCTACAATGTGGATGAGTCTCAGAAAAATTATACTGACTAAAAGAGGGCAAACAAAGAACATTATATGCTTTTCTAAAAAAGGACATGGTGGTCAGGTGCAGTGGCTCACACTTATAATCCCAGCACTTTGGAAGGCCAAGGCAGGAGGACTGCTTGAGCCCAGGGAGGTTGATACCAGCCCGGACAACATAGTGAGACCCTACCTCTACAACATTTTTTTTAAAAAAACTAGATAGGCATGACAGCACATGCCTATAGTCCCAGCTACTCTGGAAGCTGAGGTGGAAGGATTGCTTGAGCAGAGAGGCAGAGGTTGCAATGAGCCGAGATCACACCACTGTACTCCAGCCTGGGTGACACAGTAAGACTGTCCCAAGAAAAAAAAAAAAGGCATGTGTGATCTAGTTTACATAATATTCTAGAAAGTAAAAGACTCTACAGTGACAGAAAGCCTCTCACTAGTTTCTGGGGACAAGAAGCAGCAGAAGGAAGGGATTACTAAGGATCTGGAAGAGACTTTTGGGGTGACAGGTATGTTCATAAGCTTTACCATGGTGATGATTTCTTGAATATGTACATGGGTCAGAATGTATCCAGTTGTACACCTTAACCATGTACTACTGTTCACCGTGTGCCAATTAGACATCAACAAAGCTGATTTTTAAAAAGCAGAACTCATTGATGCTGCCCTAAGTCAGAAGAATGGTACCCCAGTTAAGGATGGGTATTAACAAGAGCGGGGGACAAGGCAGAGGCTGGGGGCTAAAGATGGTCTGCGTGCTGGTGACATGGGCATGTTGAGATGGTGGACGGGAGAGCTGTACACTTACAACTTAGGGTCTTTCCCGTGCACAGGATCGATTTTGATCAACACCTTTTCCAAATAAAGCCAACTATGAGCTGACTATTCAGATCTGGACCAGCCACTTAGTTCTGCAAGGAGTCGGCAGGGTCAGAATTCACAAATACCCAAGTTTCAGGTTCCAAAGCCCAAGAATGAAGCGGGGTGGGCCTGCCTGGTGGAGCAGGGTGTGTGTGGCCACCTCTCTTACCTTCTGCTGAAGGTCTCTCATCCTTCTAGCTCTGTCTCCTGGACACTTGGGACTGGCTGGCCGTGATGCAGGCCCAGGTTCCGGTCCTGGGGGCTTCTCTGCCTCGGCCTCTCTTCCGTCTTCCTGACCCCAGAATGACTTCCTGCCAAACAGCCTGCGAGCAATTTCCTCAGCATTTTCCAGCCGGAGCCCAAGCTAAGAAGAGAAGCCAGGGGCTCAGGAAGGAACAATTTAATCACAGGGGTGATGACAAGCTGTCAGACTGGGGATATGAATGACAGACCCAGAAGCCTTGAGCAGGGCACTGCAGGCTCCCTGGTGCCCACCTGGACTCAGGTTCAGGGACACAACCTTGGGAAATCCATCACTCTGTGTATCTACTTGGTACACACCACACGGGAAAAATTCTTGCTGACTCTTTTAGGCTTGGATCAAATGTCACCACCTCCAGGAAGCCCCCCTGAACTCTCATGTCACTTTCTTCCTACCTCCTCTGCCCTACACACAATATACTCAGACTGGAAAGTGTATCTCCCTCGCAAGATCCATGATAAGGGCAAGGACTCATGTCTCAATCACTAGATACCTGCCCAACTTGGCCTGGGGCGGTTCTCAAAATTTGATAGGTGGATAAATGGATCCTTCCTTCTGTCCCTCCTGCCTTCCACCTACCCTTCTGTCCTTCCCATCCATCCCCCCCCCTTTTTTTTTTTTTTTTTTTTTTTTGTTGTTGTTGAGATGGAGTCTCACTCTATCACCCAGGCTGGAGTGCAGTGGCACAATCACAGCTCACCGCAACCTCTGCTGCCCAGGCTCAAGCAATTCTCCTGCCTCAGTCTCCCTAGTAGCTGGGATTACAGGTGCCTACCGCCCTGCCCAGATAATTTTTTGTATTTTTTAAATAGAGACGGGGTTTCACTATCTTGGCCAGGCTGGTCTTGAACTTCTGACTTCGTGATCCACCTGCCTCAGCCTCCCAAAGTGCTGGGATTATAGGCGTCAGCCACCAAACCCAGCCACCTTCCATCTTTTCTATCCTTTGTCCTATCCGTCCTTAATTCCTCTTCATCCACCTGCTTTTCCTTTCTTATGGACACCTCCTCTTCCTTCCATCTATTCTTTCTTCCCTCTTTCCATCCAGACATCTCTGATGGTGTTTGCAGACAAGTCATCAGAGTCCAGCTCTTGGCAATGACTAGTGGGTGGATGGATGGATAATGGATGGATGTGTGACTCAGAGGATGGACTGATGGATGGATGTGGGTGGACATCGCTGGCTAGGTGGATGAAAGATGGCTGAGTGGGAGAACAGATGAATAGATGAGTAGGTGAGACAGTAGACAGAGATGGATGGGAAATTACATGGATGGCTGGTCAGACAGATGGAAGGGTCAGTATGTGCATGGATGTGTAGGTGGGTGGAAAGATGAATGAGTGAATGGATGGGTGGGTAGGTGGGTGACAGATGGGTGCTTTGGTAGATGGATGAATGAACAGATGGACGGATAGATAGGTAGGTGGATGAATGATAGGTGGGAAGATGGATGAGGGGTGGGTAGCTGGGTGGATGGATGATGGGTGCATAGATGGATGCATGATGGATGGATGGATAGATGGTGGGTGGGTGGGTGGGTGGATCAATGAGTGATGGGTGAATGAATGATGGGTGGGTGGATGGAGGATAGGTGCATGGGTGAATGGATGATGAGTGGGTGGGCAGATGGATGGATAGATGATGGATAGGTGGGTGGGTAAATGGGTAGATGGATGAGACAGATGAATGGGAGAGATGTGAGTGGATGGACAGATGAGCAGGTGAATGAATGAATGGATGGAAGGAGGGATGGAGGGAAGGAGGGAGGGAGGGATAGGGAGGGATGGAAGGACGGATGGAAGGAGGGATGGATGGAGGAATGGATGGAGGGATGGATGGGAGGGAGGGAGGGATGGATGGGAGGGAGGGTGGAGGGAAGGAGGG